AATCTTGTCTGACTGGGATGCAGATATGAAAAAATTTATTGATCGAAACTCCTAGAAATAATTGATATCAGATGTTTAAACGTTTAGGATTTTGAGTCGTGTATATATAAAACAATTTTTACATCGAAACTCCTAGGAGTTGATGATATCCCCTGTTTAAATGTCCAGAAATTTAAAGTAAATAGATATAGGAAAAATAATCCGTCGAAACTCCTATAAATAATTGATATCAGACGTTTAAACGTTTAGGATTTTCAGCCGTGTATATATAAAAAAAATTGTACATCGAAACTCCTAGGAGTTGATGACATCAGCCGTTTAAACAGCTAGAATTTTGAGGCATGCAAATATGGAAAAATTCATCTATCAAAACTCCTGGAAGTTCTTGACATCAAGCGTTTAAACGGTAAGAATTTTAAACCATGTAGATATGAAACAATTCATGTATCGAAACTCCTAGAAGTTAATGATATCTAAGGTTTAAACGGTTAGAATTTGGAACTATGGAAGTTTGAGAAAACTCATATCTAAAAATTGCTCGAAGTCGATGAAACTAGCTGTCTAAACGGTTACAATCTATTGTAAAAAAAGATGTCCGAAATATTTGCTACTACACTATGTTAAAATATTGAAGCACCATTGTTTAAACACTTGAATTTTCGGAATCATTAATTTAAAAAAATATGTGGCGAAGATAACGTCCAGTTTGCCTAACTTTGAAGCGTGAACATGGTTAGTAATTATCACAGAAACTCGAATGCTAAAAATATTGTGGAAAACGTGCAAAAAAATCAACTTTTTGATGCGTAAAATGTGTTTTCGGGACCATTTACCGTTTACACGGCAATAAATCCAGCTTTCGAGGTGTTTAAACGTCTACGAATATTCAACAGAAAAAAACTAAACGTTTTCACCGGAGGAATTCGAGAATTCTGGGTGTTTACACGTCCACTTTTTTTCTAACGCGTGTAAACGCTTCGAAAAGTCAATTTTACGGTGTGTACACGCGTTTTCTCAAAAGTTTGTCTGCCTGGGAATGATACATCACGAACAAATTTATATAATCCACCTGGAAAATTATTTGTTATTTTATCATAATTTTTTAATTTATATGGATATGAATAAATATGACATTGACCTTGACCTGCTTTTGGAAAATAATCAACATAAGAAATAATTTGATTATCTTTAAAATCTTTGAATGTCTTTTGAATATTTTCATTTGATGGAAAATCAAGTTCATTATCAAGCTGAATACTTGAACAAATACGAAATTTAAATTTATTTAATCGTGTCATATGATCGATGATATTTCTCTTTAAATCATTACCATCAACAAATTTTTGTCTGCCGGTAACTTGAAGAAATAAATTTAGTTCTTCCAAATTTAACATTCGATTTAGAAGTGGTACAATTAATTCATCGTAACAATGTGTATTCCAATTACTACGCAGCGAAAAGAATCTTAGATTAGGTAATTTTTCCTAAAATAAACAGTATTATTAATTTTATTGAATAAATTAGATAATAATTAAAAATAATCAACCTTATTATTAATTGTTGAATTTAAAGACATTATGTAAGTAATATTAACATGAAGTGTGTGAAGTTGATTGAAACATCCACCAAGTAAATAAATACAATCGATAAAGTCTTGCAAACGTACATGTAATTCTAACAGACTTGAAAAGGTCATTGTTGAAAGTTGAGTATCAATTGATAATTGTTGATACCAAATTGAAGATGGACCAAAATTTAAATATCGTAAATTAGTGAACATAGTCAAAATATGTATAAATAAAAGTACATTCACATCTTCAGTTGATGTTCGTTGGCCATTTGTACTAATATCGATAACAAGTGCTGAGATTTGATTTTTAAAAGTACAACTGAAAATATTTTATATATTGTAGTTAATATCAAAATGTCTATGCTTTATTATTTTGTAATGATTATCTTCGTTAGAACTATTCAATAAATAGCATTGTATCATAAATCTTGTATTTCTTCTTATGAAACACGATCTTCGAATAATATAGCCTACAAAATTTGCATCCCGTCCCCTCCCACAAATCCTGACCAACGCTATTGACATATATATATATATATATAGATTATAGAATTTTAGTTAGTAACTCTGGTGCATTATTGAAAATTAAAACTTCAAAACTTTTACAATACGCAATGTTTTCTATTCTAGAAAATTGATGGATGAGCCTGAGACAATTTGTCTGAAAAATCTGGTATTAACAATTCGATGTGGTTTTATTTTCTCTTTTTAACCGTGAAAATCGTAGATCTATATCTAGTTACTATCAAAAATTATTCCAAAAATATCCGTCCTTCTTTTGATTTGAAATGGATATTAGTTAATTACATAGTGTTTCACATTTTAACCCCACACGGATTACGCTCACAGTTTTCATGATCATTAATTTTTACCATCTGTTTTATTCTACATTTTCTTTTCCAAGAATGTCTCTTGAAGAATTCAAGTTGAAGACAATATCGAAGCTTTTTATTTTGATATTTTTTTTTCTTTTATTTTAAATGATTTCTAATGACGATATCTTTCTCATACATATCTTATTAATTGATATCAATAAAATATGGAATAATTTTAAGATTATCAAAATATTTAATTTTTTTAATTAATGAGATTTTAAGTTGATTCGGATGAATTCACTTGACATATATAGATCTAATGTAACTATTTATGATTGTAATAATCGAAATCAAATATCTTACCAGAAAAAAGATTGATAGCTTCTTTTGCTTCAATATTATATAAACCAAATCCATATAAAGCAGGATAATTTGCAGCACGAAGAATACGTTTTATTGAAGATGATTCAAGATTAAGCCATTTGATTTCATTATAAATGTGATGTAAGATTTGTAAGCAAAACCGATTTAGCAGTGAATCAAGTAATGGATACATAAAATATCTTGATAAAGATGTTAATACAATTAAACGAGTTGGAACAAGTCTTAGCAAATTCAAACGATGCGTAAAAGCCGAATCACATACGATTCTATTGAGTCGTTTATCAACATTTAATAAAGAGTAGAGTACTTCAGTATTGTACATGTTTTTAAATATAATCATAAAAATTTCATCAGGTAAATCATTTATTTGAAGAAGTGAAGCTTCCATATCTGTCTTTACTTCTATATTTTTCATTAGCTAATAAATGCGAATATTTATATATATATACTCATTTCTTCTGTTTGACCGATCTCGTCAATCGAAAATAATGATGCACTTTTGCCTGAACAGTGTTAAGTTGGCGAAAGAAAATAGCGAACAAAAGAATAGTGAAAAAAAGTCAAAGAGAAACAAATGATGAAGCAATTGTAGCGAAAAAAGAAATGACGGTCATAAGAAAATGTTGAAAAAGGTTTATTTTTACATTCTCAACCAACGACATGAGGATATTTTATTGAATACTTTTAGAGCTAAAAACAAATCAGCACAACATCATGCTATAAATTAGAGAGCCGTTAATCTGGATTCAATACAGACTCGAAAAACTCGAAAGTTGAAAGCGATTTTCAGTTGTTGACATTGGCGATCGTGTTTTTTCTACCGAGCTTAGAAAAAGAGAACTACAAAAAACAGACAAAAATGACAGGGTCTACTTCAAAAGTACTTGACTGTGATATCACTTGACCCGAATACTCGTAGACAAAGAAAAAGAAATTAAAAAGAAAACACTGAATATTTAGAATGTGTTTAGTTTATAAAAGCACGAGAGCGTAAAGAGCTAACATGAACAAAAAAAGATGTAATAGGGCGTACATATTTATAAGACAAGAAAATGCCACAAATTCAATTCAAAACAAAGCTTTCAAAGTTTCTTTCTCAAATCTGTGACAAGAATTTCTAGCGCATTATCGGAAGTCCTTCTTGGGAACACAACAATACTAATTCTGATCAATTATAGAGACTGAATACAAATCGGAATTCAATTCCAATTGAATAATATACAAGAAAAATTGTACTTGAAAAAAATTTGAATCTTGAGTACACTAAGGTTCAGTTTTGACGATTTTTCATAAAATTCCTCTAAAAGTAGGAAAACTATACCTCTCTAAAGTTACATGACGCGGCGAATTTTTACAAAATTTGTTAGATGTCATCACTAATTCATCTTCAAGGTGACTGGAGATACAGAACCTACTGCTGTGTGCGAACGGGCATTTGGGAAACTTTTTTTCTGGCAAAATTTTAGGAGTCTTATCAGGAAAAATCGTGTTTTGTTGCTTTGCTAGTCGGCTATATCTTGGAAACGATTTCACCATCCTAGCAAATTTGATCACTTTGATGGCAGATTCCTCAGTTCTGCAGTCGAGATTCTTAAATTGCAATTATCGAAAGTCGTGTTGAAGTTCATACTCGAAGCTGCCTTGTTGTTCCGCTCAGGCATCTAATTTTCAAACTTGTATGTTTACATGTATATAAGTTTATCACAATTTATTTTAGTATTTCTAAATTTCGGCTTAAATAAATATTGATTTTAGCTAATCCGATCGAATATCAAGCCAAAATAATTTACTAAAACATGTTTCGGATGGGAATTAGTATCTATTTGGTTCTCTCAATGCGTACTCAAAGTCAATTTTCAACCTTGTTATTGACCTTATCGGTTAAAGCGTATTAATTCACCCAAATAAGTCAACATTATCGACTATTTTCCTTTAACACCTATTTTTTTCCAAAAAAGAGGAAAAAGAAGATTTTTATCCAAAAAGAGGAGAAAAAGAGAATTTTTTGAGAAATAGAGGAAAAATAGGCGGAGTGGGAAGCCAGTATTATTCTTTTCATTTGGTGCTCAATTGTCTTTTTTGTGGTGCTCAAAAAACATTTTTCCATTATGCAACATCGTTTTTTGACATATAATTCTGTCTGGAAGTAAGAGGATGATAGTGAGAATGTATCGTTATCCTCGATAAGAGTTATTCGTTCTACTCTGCTTTTCAATAGTTTATAAATACTTCCATTCAAATAAAAAATATGAAATTGTTCTAAGTAGATATTAAATTTTATCTTTTTAAACAGTTGGTTGAAATTATTTTGTATATTACAATATGAATAATAAAGAGATTTTCTAAATGATCATTCACATATTAAATGAGAGATCAAACAAAAAAGAGAAGAAAAGATAATTTTATCAGCTGTATATTCGTTCATCGTCTATTTAGACTATAGAAAAATGCATCTGTGTTTCCATTGACGATATTTGGTCAAGTGGAATACACAAGTATGCATATATAAATATTGACATTTTTAAGTTGAAAAGACACAATAGATTTAGATGTAGACGACTATGAAATATTCATACGTTCAATTGAGTCATTTACCTGATGAAATTCTAATGATCATTTTTAAAAAATTACATAATATCTCGCTCCTTTACTCGTTAATTGGCGTTAGCAAACGATTAAATAAAATAGCACATGATTCTATTTTTACGAATCATTTGACTTTGCTAAGATTTCTACCAGTTCCTTTGATTGACTTCTACACTTTACCAAGATATTCAGTTTATCCATTATCTGATACAATAGTTGATCGATTTTGTTCACAAATCTTAGTTGAAATTCATAATAAAATCGAATGGCTTAATGTTGAACCATTTTCAATTGAACGTATTCTTCTTGCTACCAACTATCCCAATTTATCTGGACTTGGTTTATACAATATCCAAATAGAAAATACTGTGCATCTTTTTTCTGGTAAGATATTTGACTTCGATTTTTTCATTGATAAATACATTAAAGCTATATGTCAAATTTATTTGAATCAACTTATAATGTCATTAATTAGATAATTACACTAATAAAATTAAGAAATTTTTATTTATCAGTATGAGTGAGAAAAAAACTCATCAAAGAGATCGTTTCAAATAGAACATAAATGCTTATATATAAGAAAATACTAAAATAAAAACTTCCATATTATTTTCAACTTAAATTTTAAAACAATTTGCGTGAAAAAGAAAATGTAATAATAAAATATTTGAAATCTTTTCATTCTTTAGATGAAACTCTTTTCAGTTGTACCTTGAAAAATCAAATTTCATCACTTGTTATCGATATGAATCCACTTGGGGAACAAATATCAAGAGAAAATAACAATGCACTTTTATTTACTCATATCTTTACTACATTCACTAATTTACGAGTATTAAACTTTCATACAACTGAAAATAGCGTTCAATATTTATCCTTCTTTGAATCACCCATAACTGTTATCTCTTCAACTCTGTTAGAATTAAACGTTTATTTGAAAACCTCTAATAATTGTCTTTATTTACTTGATGGACGTTTCAATCAGCTTCGTATACTTCATGTTAATATTGATTTCATTATCATTTCGCCTTTAACAATCAATAGTAAGGTAGAACATTTTGATTAATATTTAATTTATTCAAACCAACTGATATTTGTTTTCTTTTTTGGGAAAAACTACCTAATGTAAGATCATTTTCGCTATATTGCAATCAAAGTACAGAGTTTTATGATGAATTTAGTTTACCACTTTTTAATCGAATGTCAAATTTGGAAAACCTCCATTTGTCTCTTACAGTTTGGGCAATAAAACGTTTCGTGACGGTAATGACTTGAAAATAAATGTTATCAATCATATGCCACTATTAAAAAAATTCACGCTTAATATTTGTTCAGTGAGTTCTTTTTATAGTAAAACTAATTTACCATCAAATGAAGATATTCAAAAGACATT